CTTTACTAATGTGTTTCAGCTTGTGGTCAGGGTTGCTATTACACACAAAAAGAGAGAATGTTAATACACAAGCAATCCTTTCTGTAATTATTTTAAATTAAAGTCTTTAGCATTTCAATGGATGACAATTCTTCATGGAATAATACCTTAATGTAATTAAAAGGTGGCAAAATAAAGCAGATCACAATGAATGAAACACTATCGCTGTGTCCATTTGAAGTATTAGAAATGTATGGATATATTTAGGCACCAGGAAGTTCTCCAACACAGCTGCTGGACCCCCGGCATCACAGTGTCAGAATTAGATATATTCCGAGTGTTAGGGGTCAAAGGTTAATTATGTCTTATTTGCTACACTATTCCCAAACTACTGAAGGCGAAAAATTCACAAGCAGTGAACTCCTCATCTGATTTCAATAATAAATCTGTAGACTGGATATGCAACACTGCGGCTCTCCGAGGTAAACAGTCTCTATCGCACTGGATGATGACTCATTCTTTTATCTTAACATACAGCACAGTCAGCAGCTTCTAGTAGCATTCTACCTGGGGAAAAATAACAATATGACCCTCCACCATAAGTGCTATAAATACCAACAGTCTTACGCAAGAAAAAAAAACATGGTTATGATGTTGATGGTAGAGGTGCTGGTTTCCTGTATTTTTCCTACAAAGGACAAATTACATGTAAACACTACATAAAACACTGGATATAACTAATAATCTGCTGGTTGTTCTGTTTGTTAGCCGTCATCAGGTTTGGTCTCTGTAGTTTACAGTGCAGCTAAAGGAAAAAACAACAAGACACTTGCGACTTTTTCTCATAACAATCACAGAAGTCACTAATCCTCTGCATTTCTTTGTGGAAGTTTTATACAAATTTATGCTCTGCCCAGCTCTGCTTGGCTCAGCTGGTTGTCATGTTTGTGGCATTTCAAACATATGATGCCGACAGGGAAGTTGCGGCGTGCACTTTCCAGAGAGGTGCAATTAAAAATAATCAATTTTTATTGCCCTTTCACAATAAAAAGTGGTACAAACCTACCCACAGCGAGTCTCTATAGCAGCAGCTGATAGTGATGCAAATACACACTGCAGTAAAGGCTGCACAATGTCAGTTTCTCAAAACAGATGGCAACGTGAAAACCAGCTCCTCTTTCTTACAAGCCTTTCCCCATGAACATGAGCCATGCGCATATACAAACTTATTCACACATTCAGTAAGGAGGTCAAAACAGCAAACGCAGATCAGGCCAGTCCTGCAGAGTCACCCTATTGCCGCAGTGCATGCAGAATAAGGTCCAGCAGAGCACAGCAATAAAGCTGCTACAGCAGTGCTCTTACTAATTAACACAACAAAGAAAAAATAATAATGTTCTAATCCTTGAACAAATATAATCAATCAATAATAACTAGACTCTGTTTTTTCTTTTATGCTCACCAGGGTTAATGGTGCTCTTATAGTTTCCTTACATCAGGCATTTATTGGACTTTTGCCCTCATTTGGCTTTGGTTAAAAAGCACTTCTGGATTTCTAAGGGGCTGTCTGAGCTTAATCAGGTCAAATGCTCAAAATATCCAATACACCATAGGTTTGTCATTAGTGAGCCAAGCAGCAGCAAATGAAACCACGCCAGAGTGCTGCAGCCTAAATGATCGTGCTAATAGTGTGTGTGAACCAAAAAGCATTGATAAAAGCAGGAAATCAATAATCACATTACAGTGTACAACTCAGCACTGCCTACATGAATCTCTTTCACTGTCGATTCACATCGCTTATCTCTCCTGTCTATTTCAGGCGTGTATCATCTGAAGTGGTATTTTTTTTCTCTTTTTTCTCTGTGTTGGTCTCCACCATCTCCTGAGTATGTACTCAATTCTTCACTGTGAATAGCCACAAAAGGGCGAGAGATGGAACACAGAAAAGATCGTCAAACATATAAACTGAAAAAATGAGAGGAAATTGTTTACAACCTTTGCTTTTAGCCTCTGGTTTGACTTCATTGTGCAGCAATAACTGCAGCTAATCTTTTGAACAACTGTTGATGAGTCCTGCATCGACTTTGGAGGATCTTTTGTCCATTTCATAGTTTATAACATAATTTAATGTTGCTAAGTTTCCTTCCATAACTTTAAGGTTTGGACTTGAACTTGGCTGTTCCAAACCATTATTTTATTCCGTTATTTTTTTTTTTTCTGTGTTCAGTAGAACAACTTGGAAGATTTCATGAGATCATAAGAAATCTCACTTGTGATGGTGAATTTTGTGTGAATGCAAAGAGAGACTGTTCGTCTTCATAGTAAAAGTTGCAGTGTTTGGAAATGTGTTGGTTTCAGCAGTAAGACATATGTTGCATTAAAGCAAACATTCTCAGTGTCTTTGTGCTGCACTTTTTCAGGTTTCACTACTGCTTGGTGGTTATTTAGCGAGTATCTGGTAAATGGGCTGATTGTCTACCTGAGCACTCAAAGTGTTTTATACAACTTGCCTCATTCATCCATTTATACATGCAGTTTTTCTACCTAAAAACACTCACACTCTGATGGAAGTACCAGAGTTCATACTCCAACAGATGTACTGGAGTATGACTGTAGCAGTAACAGCCAGGAATAGATCCACCAACCTTGCGACGAGCAGATGACCTACTCTACCTCCTGAGCTACAGCCACCCCTGTCTGCAAGCGAGTCATCATCTTCCATGCAAATAACAGGTGACTGCAGCAATCTAGCAACCAAAGCAATTATATGAAGGTTGCTTGTGCAGTATTGTCTTTCCGACCAAGTTCACCTAACAACTGCTACTAAAGACTACCAGCAACCTTCAGCTACAAATCACTATCTGCTCAGGGAGTACACATTCTTCTCTAGAGATCCGAAGGCAGGCCTCTAGGTGTGTAACTGAGGTCTAAAGAGCCACTTATACAATTAAACTTAGTATTATGTAAAATTAAGCTTACTGCTATTTCCCCTGCTCTTTCTTCTTTATAGCCACTAAACGTTTTCTCCAGTTACTGTAGAAATATTGTGCAAACAACTGGAATTCAAAGTGACATGTTTTACTGCACATGTGGGCTATACCTATACTAAAAGGGAATACCCTTTCTTCCTTTTCAGCATTCATGGATTTGAAGGTTTGATTGACACTACAACAAATAGAACAAAGAGCATTTCATATACTGAGAGACCACCGGAGCAGTGCCACACTTGAAGGATCAATAATTCTGCTTGTTGTTCCTAAAATTTACTCTCCATGAGTGCATCTGGATAAATGGCACACTTTTTTGCCTGGTGACTACGTCACCATGGCAACGGTCAGTCCTCCACCTGTTTGGAACGTGACCAGAAGGAGAGTGGCTATTGGCTGGGTGCGCTGAGGAACAGGATGAAGGAAGGAGCCTGCTGCTGACAAGATGGCAATGCTGCAAAGGACAGCTCAGTCTTACAGCTTGCAGCAATGCATTGGACTTCTGTTTCAGACAGCGTACTGACCGTATGTGGCCTCATAAATTAATTAAGGTTCATAAGTGTGGCTGGAGAACTGAACAGTCCTAAAGGAACAGGCTCAGATGCCCAGGAGCCCCTGTGACTCTTTGGGTGCCTTGGTCTGGTAGCCCCTTTTTGAAGGGTATCTAAAAAGAGATTCAAAATGAAAGGATAAAAGAGACTCAACAACAAACAAATTAAACATGAAAATAAAACTTAAAATGGCAACGGAAATGGAATGGCTTTAAAATGAAGTGCACAAATACACACATTTCCTCAAAAAGGCAACAAATGATTCAAAACAATTACAGAGACCCAAAACAACTATGAAAGATCCAATAAAACAACACCCAAAACCATTCCACAAATATGCAAATTAAACAAAAGTAGAGGCAAAGAGACAGAAAACAACAAAAATAACATTTCTTACATATAAAGACCAAAAGCCTATAAACAGAGACTGAAAACAGTTATACACAAAAGTAGAAAATTCAAATCTAAAAGACACAATCACTACCAAGACATGCAACATGGCAACACAAAAATGCAAAAGCTGCTAGAGATGAAAGAAAATGGGCTCAGTGTCTCATAGTGCATTAATGTCTAAATGTATTTAACAGTCTTTGCTTGCACACATGTACTTCTCAGTGTGTACCTGCTTAACTGTAAAAAACGTTGAGCATTTATGATGACAAAGTGGAGGAAGTGTTCTTTCAGCCATCACTGGCACAGAAATGCACAATATGCTTTCTGTGCCAAGAATATTCAGAGAGATCCTTGCGCCAGAATCGTCGATCAAAACTCCATCCATTCACTGACTACGCTTCTCTGCCACTCTATTAAAATCACAGACAGAAAACCCGTAAAAGAAAACTGTGCGCAAATGAATTTGCTCACGGAAACTAGACTGTTCTGTAATATGATCAGAGTAAAAGCCATGTGGACATGAAAAAAGAGCTCTGGCTCTGTCATCTGTCAGGCAGGACGTTACGTTAGTGGAAAAACAGGAATGCTGCAAGGTCAAACTGCAGCGCCAGGCAACCCGTCACGACTCTGCCGCCTACAAACATGGATGACACTCACTTTGAGTGTGAGCTGCTTGTGCATGCGGAGCCAGGGGTTTTAAAAACTGTCTGCTGTGACGCTGCGTGGACAGTGTGTACTATATCTGACGCCCAAAGGCCCGTGAGAGTTCAAACATGGACGCGCAGGATGACCAGACGCGAAAACATCTGCCGGAGGAAGCGCACTGCGCATCAACATCATCATCATCATGCCTCCATCAGCTGCACCAAAACAAACAGACAGGCCAGAAAACAGCCTGACCCGACAACCAAGAGCTTTACTCTCCACAAATTCCTTGCACGGGGGCTCCATTCACTTATTATTTCTAACCGCTGTTGTGAGACACTCAGTCCACTACAAGCAGACTCATTCTCCGCACTGAGAGAGCTCTGCAGCATCCACGGATGGCACCGATGATTTCCATAAACGGGCTTGACCCGGCCCCGCTTACCTGTGCCCGGCTTCCCGTATAGCGCTGTTAGTCCGTCCACAGTTCCATCGCCATGGTTGTTGTTGTGTCCCTCATTTCTTCCACCAAGAGCTCCGCCTGATGGAGCGGCGGCACGTCCGAGGAGGAGTGGGGAGGAGGGAGAGAGGGGGCTGAGTCAGGAGGGATGCAGGGAGACGCACTGGATGGCTGCCCCGTGAGGAGGAGAGGCACAAGGGTATATGGACGGAAGCATCTGCGTCACGTTACGTCAGATTGATCTTTTTAAAGGGAAACACTACTTCATTTGTCGGGCTTCAGCTCAGTGCAAGCTACATTTCCCAGCTTCTTTAACACCGAGAATACTTTAGAGACAGGGCTGCTGTCACTGCAAGGAGAAAGTGGTCTGTTACTAGGTAACACTGCAATAAATATATAATTATGGCTATTGTGAAGATATTTGTTGGGAGTGATCGACAGAATCGACAGAATTTTAAATGAGTAAATCAGAGGGACAAATATAGAGAGGCAAGGCTCGGACATGTGCAGAGGAGGGGAAGTGGACATTCTGGGTGAATGATGTTGAGGTAGGAAAAGAGGAAGATCACAGAGAAAGTTCGACGATGTTGTGAAGGAGGACATGCAGAGGGTTGGTGTGACACAAGGGGATGTTGGTCAGAGGATGAGAAAGAAGTAGACAAGCAGCCAGTGTCCAAATAAAAACTTTGAAAGACCTCCGGAAAGACTTTTGTACAGCGTTTAAGATAAACAAGAGTTAGTGAGTTTTCATTGTCCTCATTTAAAGTGCTATTAAATGGTTAAACATTTCTTTGTTTTACATAGACCTGTAATAAAACCTGACTTCCTTTTACTTATTTTTAAAGACTTTGTGCCAAATCTCAAAATTGTCCTATACTGACCGTCTCAGCCATAGTTCAAGAAAAGAAACAATACCTTTTACTAGAAACAAAAATCTTAAAAATGTTAATAGGCACTTCTGGCATACCTTTGTGTCTTTTTTAATGTGTATATTTCTAAAAGTAGGAAGTTGATCCTATATATCATTACTGAGAACACTGTCCTATGCTCCATTATGTCATATTTGGATTTTCTTCTTCTTTTATGATTTTATGTGGATAGCTATATTTAGCTGAAGAAACTCATTTATGATCATATACCTGATATACCCCCGTCAATTATTCATGGTAAGTTTTTCTATTAGAATTGTGCAAATATTTAACCATGTTTACAGAAAACTGAAAGTGTTGAGTTTTATTGTCCTTTGGTGGGTGAAAACCTGAAATGATATGTATGCATATTTAAATATAAACAGTATTTTAAATAAAATAATTAGGGGTCATTGTCATCTTATCAACTGATTATGAGAGTTAAGTTAGCAAAACCATGCTTATTAACTGACACTAAAACATAACAGTCCACTGTTGTGATGCCTTTGGGATGTCACTCCAGATAACAAAGATAACACACAAAAGAACAAGATATCTTTAAGAAGCTTTTACACAACTAAATAAAATGAGTATGCATGTTTGTTATTCTTTTTTAAACATTTAACTTGAATTAAAATATATGCTGCTGTTTTTGGAGATAAATGTGAGTGTGTGATATCGCTGGCTCTCTTCCACAGCATGTCTTTTATCCCGCCTCCCTTCTCTCTCCCCAACCAATCACAGCAGATGGCCCCTCGCTGAGCCTGGTTCTGCCGGAGGGTTCTTCCTGTTAAAAGGGAGTTTTTTCTTCCCACTTTTGCCAAGGTGCTTGCTCATATGAGGTCATATGATTGTTAAGTTTTTTTTGCCTGTCCCGTTGAACCTGTCCCGTTCTTTTGCCATCAGAATTATTGTCTAAAGGCGAGGAAAGATGCCGAACGGATTTACTTTACCAAATTGACCATCCCAGCCTAGCCGTAATGGTCTATTTGATTCACCTTTTATTGTTTATTTTATTTATTTTTTATTTTCACTTGCTAGATACGGGACAGACTTGAATGAGGAAAAGAAAAGGGAGAAAGGAAGAGGGGGAAAAACAGCGGAGAAGAGGGACGGGGATAAAGGGCAAAAAAACAAAAACATACTAAATAAGCAGACAAAAAAAAATATACATATATCAATCACCTGGATCACCTGTTGAGAAAGAAAAAAGAAAACAAGCAGAAGAAAACGAGAGCAATACAATAAACAACATCACGATGATATATGTGAATATAACAGTAAATACTAAATATCAAACATCATTGTGCAGCACGTAATATTGACAGCGCACAGTGTGCTTTGAGGTAGGAGCCAAAAAGGGTGTAGTTTGTGTGTGTGAGCACCCGTGTGTACACCTGTGAGCATGGACGCGCTTGTTTTTAAAAGGTTCCTTCATGTAATGATCTGCTAGAGGGTGTGGGGAGCCACAGCCCCGTCCTCCAGGGCATGAAGCAGGTATGGAGGAGATCAAAACTCCAGACATCCAGAGGCCCCCAGAACACAAGAGACCAAGGAAGACCAACAGAGGGGCAGTGACGTGCCTGTGAGCTCCGCCGGCAGCCAGCTGCGCCAGAGTCTATTTTTCTATTTTCTATTAGTCTATCCAAATCTATTTTTTAAATAATGGTTTCATTTATTAAGGTAAAAAAAAAAGAAAAAGCTGTCTAACCGTACCTGTCACTATGTGATAAGTAATCGCTACCTAAACCTAGGGACTACAATAGAGCATTTGCAATAACTAATGATGAGGCTGTCACATTGCTATGGAGGAATTCTGGCCCACTCTCCTTTCTAAAAGTGTTTAATTTAGCCACACTGGAAGGTTTTCAAACATGTACAATCGGTTTAAAGTGATTCGAGAACATTTTATTCACATTTAAATCTGGACTTGGATGAGGTCACTCTTAAACCTTGACCTTATTTTTATTGTTTTGACATGATGTGGACTTGCTAGTGAGTTTTATCTTGCTGTGTAACCCAAGTGCACTTTGCATCAGGCAAGAACTGATGGACATTCTCCTTTAGGATTTTCTGGCAGAGAGCAGAATTCATGGTTTCATCAATTATGTTGGATCATCCAGGTCTTGAAGCAGCAAAGCAGCCTCAGACCCTCACACCACCACCATGTTTAACTGTTCTTTTTTATGAAATGCTGTGTTAGGTTTAAGGTGTAAGGGATGCAAACCTCCCAAAAAGTTAAAATTTTGTGTTGTCAAACCATAGAATATTTTCCTAAAAGAGACCATCAAGATGTGTTTTGACAAATGTGAGTTGAGCCTTTGTGTGTTTTTTTTTCTTTTAAACTCATAGAGCTAAGAAGGTTTGACAAGCTTTATCTTTGACTCCTCTGCAACCCTGAATTGGATAATAGGATGGATGTTTGCTTCTTTGGTGTTGGCTTTTTTTTCTTTGTTGTTAAAAATTAACAAGAAAGAAGCAAACTGTGCAAACAAATGCACCTGGAAGTGTGACGAACAAAAAGGTCGAAAACACCCTTGATCACAAAATATAAAGAGAAATAAATCATTCAATAGACAAATGTGACATTAAATTAACATAAAATATAACCATTAATTATTTAGAAAATATTACAAAGATGTTTTGTTTTTCTATTGCACTTTTTAATCTCTTAATTTTCATATTTGCCAGTTGCGGCAGATGGCCCCGCCCCTCCCTGAGCCTGGTTCTGCCGGAGGGTTCTTCCTGTAAAAAGGGAATTTTTCCTTCCCACTGTCGCCAAAGTCCTTGCTCATAGGGATGTGATTGTTGGGTTTTTCTCTGTATGTATTATTGTAGGGTCTAGCTTACAATATAAAGCACCTGATGCGACTGTTGTTGTGATTTGGTGCTATATAAATAAAATGGAATTGAGTTGAATTGAATTGAATATTATATTCCCCAAACTATTCAATGTAATACATAATTGCATTTTTCACCTTATTTGTTTTCCAAAGTTTGTTTTTCTTTCAAAACATCTTCAGGCATTTGTGCTTCACTTGTCCGTTCACTTTTCTGTTATGGCCTACCGATGCCTGTGTTTAGGAAAGGAACAAATTTTATAATTTGTTTAAAGTATATACATATATTATTTGCAAAAGTAAATGGATCGGTGTTTGAACATTTTGAGTTTTTCTATCCACCCAAAGCCCTTTTCCCAGGCTTCATTTACCCATTTACACACCTCTTTATTATTTAAACATACTTATCTCTCACACATGAATGCATCAGGGGCACAGGGTCATTTACCATTTGAAAGTTTGGTGATTCATTTCCCAGCTCCTCCAGTCTGCATGTAGAAGTATCTTTAGGCAAGATACTGAGCCGTGAGCTGGCCCGATGCATCCATCTAGGTGCTTAAATACAGAAAAAAACTGCGGGTATAAATATGAGTGCATGTGTGAATGATGCTTGTAGAAAAAAGTGCTTTGAGTGCTCAGGGTAGAAAAGTGCTAAATAAGTCCATTGCAGTGATAGCAATATTTTATATTTACACTTAAGTAATTTGAATTCTTATATACCATTTGCACAAAAATTTTGTCAATTCATAATTTCATTATACTAGCCAAAGAAACTAGTTTCACAACAAGATGATCTCATGTGTTTCCATTTTTAATGCTGGTTGTGAATAACAAATAAAACTGTCATTCCCCTTTGAAGCCTAAACCATGAAATAATTGCCAGAAAACTCAAATCGTTTGATATTGGAGCATTTATTGAAAAATAATTCAAAATTAATTTGCATATATGAGTTTCAGTTTGAATCATATTTGCTATTTGCTGCATTTTTTTATTCATTTATTTTTTTAAGGACAAACACCTTAGAGCAAAGCGTAATTTCTTTTTATAGACAAGTGCACTAACACTTCCACCGTAACTCAATTATAATATCTAACAAGGAGGACTCCAGAAAGCACACACTGTAGTATTTTACCAATTAAAAGTACAGTCTTTTGTTTGTAGGGTAGCCCTCCTGTTCATTCATGCAATTAGCAAATCGTATCATTAAAGAGAAAAAAAAGATGCAGCCGGGTTCAGGTATAGTGTCTGTGGAACAGCCAACAAACAGCCTGTAATGACAAGTTAATTACACAGGTGTAAGGTGTCAGGTTTTTTGGGCAGCATTAGATTTGAGATAAACCAAGTAGTTAGGCTTCGTTTAGGTATCGAAGTACATATGATGCACTGACTAAGAAAAACAATGATAAAACGAATTCTGACTAAAAAAAGATGTTTTCCCCAGGA